CAATGACTGATGTCCTTTTAAGAAGGCCATGTTAAGACAGACACTGACACACACAAGGGCGACGACATATGAAGATGGAGGCAGAAATTGGAATGGTGCATCTACAAGGCAAGGAATGCCAAGAATTGCTGACAACCACTAGAAGCTAGGAAAGAGGCAAAGAAGGATTCTTCCCTAGAAGCTTCAGAGGGAGGGAGCATGGGCCTGCTAATACCTTGATTTTGGCCTTCTAGCCTTTAGAACTGTGACAATGGATTTCTGTTGTTTTAAGCCAACAAGTTTGTGGTACTTTGTTAAGGCAGCCCTAGGAAACTCATACACTTCCTGTTACCTGGAACTTTTTCCTTCAACCCAGTGAAAATGCAGGGGTACAGTGGCCAAACAAACAAAAAATCCTAGGATCATTCCTGCCTCTCCAGTGTTGTAAATCCTGCATCCCCATCTTTTAGGATTGGCAGCTCACTGCTGTGACTCACTGATGGGTTATAGTTACATGCTTGAAACTCATCAGTGTTTGTAATTTCTAAACGACCCCATCCCTTTCTTCCCACTCAGCGTAAATATGATATAGGGATAACTTTGATTCCACAATTTTATTAAGTTTGGGAAAACTTTCGTACTTTTCAAGAAGCAGATACTTTCAGAACTCTTCACAGTGGCCTATCTGTGTGGAACCTGCTGTTCAATGGATGATGATCACTTGTTTTAGGAAGACTGGAGGGTACCTTCTAATAGGGAAGGAAAGGATTGAATAATCTGGGTAAAAAAGTGGCTATCATAGTGTTGTGGTTTGAATTGTGTGTCCCCCGCAAAATATGGGTTGTAAATCCTAACCCCTATACCTGTGGTCAAATGATGAATTGCACTGGGCAAATCTGCTGCAAAAGACCTCTTGGGAGTGTTAAAAAGCAAAGATGTCACTCTAAGGACTAAGGTGCGTCTGACCCAAGCCGTGGTGGTTTCAGTCGCCTCATATGCATGCAAAAGCTGGGCAGTGAATAAGGAAGACCGAAGAAGAATTGACACTTTTGAATTATAGTGTTGGCAAAGAATAGTTAATATACCATGGACTGACAGAAGAATGAACAAATCTCTGTCTTGGAAGAAGTTCAGCTAGAATGCTGCTCCTTAGAAGCGAGGATGGCGAGACTTCATCTCACATACTTTGGACATGTTATCAAGAGGGATCAGTCCCTGGAGAAGGACATCATGCTTGGTAAATTAGAGGGTCAGCGAAAAAGAGGAAGACCCTCAACGAGATGGATTGACGCAGTGACTGCAGTAATGGTCTCAGGCATAACAGTGATTGTGAGGATGGCGCAGGACCGGGCACTGCTTCATTCTTCTGTGCATAGGGCACCTAACAACAACAACATATCTGTGGTTATAATCCCATCGAGAATGAGTTTTCTTTGTTAGTGAGGCAGTATTAGTGTAGAGTGTGTTTTAAGTCAGTCCCTTTTGGGATATAAAAGAGGTTAAGCAAGGAAGGGAGCAAGCAGAGATGGAGGGAGAGAGATGCTGAGCCATGTGAAGATTGCCCAGGAGCAGAAGAGACAAGGACCTTCCTCCAGAGTTGACAGAGAGAGAAAGCCTTCCCTTAGAGCCGGCACCCTGAATTTGGACTTCTAGCCTCCTGACTGTGAAAAAATAAATTTCTGTTTGTTAAAGCCACCCACTTGAGGTATTTCTGTTAGCCCTAGATAACTAAGACACATAGCAAGAATTGGAGGAAAAGTGGTTACATGTTAATATGGGTGTAACTTTTATCATAGTGCCTTGATAGGCTTAGAGCCTTCCACTCCGAGTTTAGATGTTGCTTTCCCTATCAAGCCAAGCTTAGAAAGAGTACTGCTTGCAGCAGCTCACATTTACTCCTGACTGGTCACTTGGTGGAAACTGTAGTCAGAGGTGTCCATTGAGTATAGAAATAACCCCATGGTCCCTCTGATCTTGTGCCTCAAACTTCATTGGAAAAATGTTTATGGAAACACTTTAAATTTCCAGTTATTTCACCACCTTAACCATTACCTTTCTTTTTGGGAATGCCCTACCAGTTAATTTGCAGGTTTTATGCTGTTATAGAGTTTATTTTTATTTTCTACTTTGAACAGTTCCAATTTTTTAATAATTGTCATAATGTTCAACAGTTGTATGTTTCATCAAGGTGTGCTTTTTCAGCTGTTCCATGATTCGGTATGATCTTCCTTTTTGGCTGTCAGAGAATGTCAGATTGAGGGTATACTGCGTAGTTTTTCGTTCCTTGAGCTTGTTTTTTTCTAAGAATTTTCAGGAGTTCATTATTAGTGGTAGTTTTTTGTTTTGTTTTTTAATTAAAGTAAGTAGTAGGGTCACTGTGAGTTGGAATCAACTCGGCAGCAACAAGTTTGTGTGGTGTTTTGGTTTTTTTTTTTTTTTTTTTTTTTTTTTTTTTTGGTATTTGTGCTTATCTGCTTAGTGACTTGGGAGACTTCTTAGGCTTGTTTGGAACAAGCCTGTTGAACCTGTGACATAATACCTAACTGAATTCTTCCACTGGGAAATTTATTTATGAATTCTTTACAGGCCTATCTCTTGTTCTGTTTGTTAACAAATGTGAATACTTGTAATGTGCAGGATTGTATGTGCTAGGTGTGTTTTTGGACCATTTGAATGAAAGTTACTGTTGCAGTACATTAATAAGTATCTAATTCAGGGACAGAATTTTATTCTTCCCCTTTGGTTAACTTCTCAAATGTGATCTTACTGTGTTTGAGAGTTGTGGGTGTGACAGATACGACATACAAAGAGGGAAAAATGAGCAATGTTTAAATTGGTCGTATTTCTAGGGAAGTGGTAGTTCTCATTTTCAAGGAATTTAATTTTCTTATTATTTCACTGTATCATGGTGAAATGACCAACTGAATTTTATGAAGAAAGAAAATGGAAACCTTGCCAAAATATGGGTTAGTTGCAAGATAATTTATTTGCTGTTCATCCTGGAAGACTTAATGATATAATTTGATAATCTTTACAGATGGATCAAATTAGAGAACTTTAGGCAAGTGGAATAGCATGAGTAAGAATTAAAATTATTCCTGCTTGATTTTTTTTAAAATAATGTTTTATTGTGTTTTTGGTGAGAGTTTGCACAGCGATTGAGGTTCCTATTTAACAATTTCTACACGAATTATTCAGTGACTGATTACATTTTTCACAATATGTCAGCATTCTTATTAATTCCGTTTTGGTTGTCACACAAATTTTTTTTTCCTTCTGAATTTTATTTATTTTGTTGTTGTTTGAAATATATACAGCAAAAACGTACAATTCAGCAGTTTCTACATGTGCCATTTAGTGACACTGATCACATTCTTCAAGTTGTGCAACCATTCTCACCCTCCTTTTCTGAGTTGTTCTTCCCTTATTAACATAAACTCACTGCCCCCTAGGATTCCTATCTAATCTTTTGAGTTGCTGTTGTCAGTTTGATCCCATATAGATAGTTCTTAAAAGATCTGATGCTCAAGGCGACCTTTTTTACTAGTTAAGCTAAACTATTGTTTAGTTTTAAGGTAACTTCAGGGGATATTTTTGGTTTAAGGTTTAAAGATTATCTCAGGACGGTAGTTTCAGGGCTTCATCTACCCTCCATGACACCAGAAGTCTAGAGTCCATGAGAATTTGAAATTCTGTTCTCCATTTTCCCCCTTTTGATCAGGATTCTTCTATGGAATCTGTGATCAAAATGTTCAGTCAGGGTAGCCAGGCACCATCCAGTTCTTCTGGTCTTATGGCAAAGAAGTCAGTTGTTCATGGAGGCAGTTAGCCATACATTCCATATCTTCCTCCCATTCCTGACTCTCCTTTATCCACTGTTGCTTCAGGTGAATAGAGACCAATTGTGCCTTGGATGGCCACTTGGAAGCTTTTAAGACCCCAGGCCCTATGCAGCGAACTAGGAGAAGCACAAAACATGTTATTAGGCCAGTTAACTGGGATATCCCATGACCCTAAAGCTCCAAACCAAGTAACCAAATCCTGCGAGGTTTTGTTTGTACATAAGCACCCTCAGTGGCTAATTGTTTTGTTTTTTGGTCATTGTTGTAAATATATCTGTCGTATAACTTTTGCCAATTCAGCTTTTTACAGGTATACAACTTATTGACAGCAATCACACTAATTGACTGTACAACTCTACCACTAATCAGTGCAATTTTCCCATCACTGTTAACCCCCTTTCCCTCCCACCCCAGGTAACCACTAATAAACCTTGTTCCCTGTACATGTACCTTTTCTTGTCTTTTAATATAAGTGAAGTCATACAGTAGTTGTCCTTTTGTGATTGGCTTATTTCACTCAATATAATGTCTTCAAGCCCCACCCATTCTGTAGCATATATCAAGACGTCATTTCTCCTACTGGCAGAGTAGTATTCCATTGCGTGTGTGTACCACATTTTGTTTATCTGTTCATCTGTTGATGGGCATTTAGGTTGTTTCCACCTTTTGGCTATTGTGAATAGTGCTGCGATGAACACCTGCTTGATTTAAAAAAAAAAAATTAATTACCAACAATGCTTCAGAAAGATAAAATGGTTGACTTAGTGTCTTTTATGGAACACAAGGTCGTAAGACAGCTCACTTTGAAAAGTCATCTATTCTTTATTTCAGTGGGTGCAGGTGCTGTTCATTAAGATAAAACTTGGTGAGAAATTAAATCCAGTTTATAATGGTTTTCTGCCTAGGTGATGAGGTCAGAGCAACAGTGGTACATTTTTGGTTTTAGTGGCTAGAAGTGTTCCTACAGCTCATACAGAGTGGTTCTTAAAAATTTTTGGGGGTCCAGAGAAGATGCTGACATCAGAGGCTATAAACTAATAGGAATAGTTTCCATTGCCACTAAATTGCAGTGCTGTGAATTTTAATAGTTTGGGTAGAGCATTTGAAAATTAAACATGTAGAAGCATGACAGTTTGAGAGAGAAGCATTTCAGTATCTTTTTCTATCTTTTTTTTCTAGTTGGAAAATGGATACACTTTATTTGACTATGATGTTGGACTGAATGATATAATTCAGCTCCTGGTTCGCGTGGACCCCGATCTTCCTAGCACATCTAAACAGACTGATGCACAGGTCAAACCCTGTTCTAATAGTCCGCCTAAAGTAAAGAAAACCCCAAGGGTGGGACCTTCTAGTCAGCCGTCTACAGCGACTCACGCATTTCTTATTGATCCTGGCTTTGGACTATATAAGGTATGTTGTCTTCTTCCAACTTCTTGTGAGAATACAGTTGTCTGTTCTCTTCAGGATGTTGTGAATAAATATCGATTGACATTTGAAAGTAAACATTGGGCTGCTAATGTTTTAACTTTTAAATGTAGTCTTTAAAAATTTTCTGTGGAATATATGTAGATAAATGTATAAAATGTATATGTACAATTTAAAGAAAAATAATAAAGCAAACACCTGTGTAATTCCACCAAGGTTAAGAAGTTAGAATGATGCCAGTACCTTTTTAAAGCCTCCTGTGTGCCCCTACCAGATCACACCTCCCTCTCTCTCCCTAAGAGGTAAACTACTTATTCTGACATTTATGATCATTGTCTTGTTTTTCTTTAGTTTTACTACTTACGTACGAGTCTCTAAACAATATGTTGGTTAGTTTTGCCTGTATTTGAATTTTATATAATGGAATTGTACTTTTTTCCACAACTTTGAGAGATTTTCTAATGCATATAGCTGTGTTTTATTCCTTTTCACTATTAAAGTATTCCATTTTATTAACATACTTCAAAATATTTATCTTATCCCTGATTAATAGCTATTTGAGCTGTCGCCAGCTTTCAACTCCTTTAAGCAGTGCTGTTTTGAACCTTCTTGTGTGTGTATCCTGGTGCACATGTTCAGGAATTTTTTAAGGTTTTCTATCTAGGACTAGAAGTATTGGTGGTTCACTCTGGATACTGCCAAACTGCTTTCTGTTTTGTTCCATTGGTCCATTTGTCTATCCCTTGCCCGTACTGTTTAAGTCCTGTAGCCTTATGGGCTATTTGATATCTCCCTTCTCCCATCTCCCAAATTTTGTTTCTCTTCAAGAGTGTCTTGGTTTTTTGGCTTTTAACACCTTTATATAAAAATTTCAGATTTAGCTTGTTAAAGCTTTACAAATAAATAATCTGGGATTTTGATGGGGATTGCATCTATAGATCAGCTTGGAGAACTGACATCTTTACAATGTTGAGTCTTTTAATTCATGAACGTGATGGATTTCTCCATTAATTTAGATCTTTGCCGTCTTTCAGTTAGCTTTGAACTTTTCTCTTTACCTACCTTGTTCGATTTATTTCTAGGACCTTTGTTTTTTGATGCTATTATAAATGGTGGCCCTGGTGATGCAGTGGTTAAGAGTTCAGCTGCTAACCAGAAGGTTGGCAGTTCATGTCCACCAGCCGCTCCTTGGAAACCCTATGGGGCGATTGTACTCTGTCCTATAGGGCTGCTATGCGTCAAAATCGACTCGACGGGTTTGGTTTTGGTTTTTGGGTGTTATAAATGGTTATCTCTTAAAATTGCAATTTGTTTGCTAATATGTGGAAATGCAATTGATTTATTTATTGACCTCTGTATCCAGCAAATTTTTCAAACTCTGTTCTAATACATTTTGTAGAAATAATTGAATAGTAGTTTTGTTTCATTCTTCCCAATTCTTCTATTTTTTCTGAAATTTTTTTCCTTACGCAGTGTTGCATGGAAGTGGTGATAGTGGGTACATCCTTGTTTTGTTTCTGATCTCGAAAGGAATGTCTTCAGTGTTTCACCATTAAGTATGATGTTTGGGAGTTTTTTTTTTTAGTAGAATATTTTACTAATTGGGTCAAACTGGGACTGAGACTCAGTTTTTCAAAGCATTTTCAAGAGTAAAAACTAAAAAATTGGTTTATGAAGTGAGTTATTTAAGAAAATGCAAATAGAGATAATTTTAGATTGTGGAAAAAATGCAAACATATACTTATGTATGGAGGGCATCAAGAAAACTAACAAAAAGCTCTATCTTCAAAAAGCACCAAGCCTTGACTGGCCTCACGATAGATTCTTCTAAATTGGTGAGAAACAGATAATTGTGATGTTATCTAAATTGACCCATGGCATAAAGAAAGAAGGAAAACTTGCCAGTGCTTTATTAATTTAGTATAACACTGATACTAAAACATGAAAAAAAGCATACCAGTATTACTAACACATTGATGTAAAACCTAAGTTATATTTGGCAAATAGAATTATGACTGCATATTAAAAGGTATGACTGTATATTAAAAGGACATACTAATACCTTCACCAAGTATGGTTTGTCAGAAAGTGGGGATGGTTTGTTATTAGGAAGTGTTTTTAATAGAATTAATTGTATTAACAAACCGAAGAAAAATTTGAATCCATTCCTGATTTAAAAAAAAAAAAAATCCTTGGTAACAAGAACAATTGGAATGGATGAATACTTTAAACTACAGCCAGCATCATGCTTGATGGTCAGGAAAAGGCAGAAGCATTCCCATTAAAGACAGGAGCCAGACAAGGAAGCTAGTTAATGCTGCTGTTACTTAACATTTTTCAAGAGGTCCTAGATAATTCAGTTAGACAGGAGAACAAAATAAAATGTAAATATTGGAGAAGGCAGTTATCACTTATAGATAACTGGAAAAGCAATAAGTAAGTGGCCATTTTCAAAATTAATATTGGAATACCAATAGTAGTCTTTACTACAATCAGTTAGAAAATAAAGTAGAAGAGAAAAAATGTTTGCAATAGGCATACGTGATAAGCATTGTTGTTGTGTGCTGTCGAGTCGATTCCAAATCATAGTGACCCTATAAGGATAGAGTAGAACTGGCCCATAGGGTTTCCTAGGCTGTAATCTTTACAGGAGCAGATCTCTAGGTCTTTCCTCCTTTGGAGCTGGTGGTGGGTTCAACCGTCCACCTTTTAGTTAGCAGCCGAGTTCTCAACCATTGCACCACCAGGGCTCATGATAGGTGTAAGACATGAAACAGTGCTCTATATAGTGCTCACAATTAATACAAAATGATCAGTACTGAAAGCCAGCTTGCCATTTTCTTGCCAGCATCACCCATTGATTTTATCCCTCCTACAGATACCAATGCTTCCTGCCTTGTTACTTTTTTACATTGTTACTTTATAAAGAAACTTTTTATTTTAGATCTGTTTTAGATTTACAGCAAAATTTGGAAGCTAGTACAGAGTGTTCCCATATATCCCCTATTATTAACATCTTACATTAGTATGGTATATTCATTATAGTTAATGAAGCAGTATTGATACATTGTTATTAACTAAAGTCCATGCTTTATGCAGATTTCCTTAGTTTTTACCTGATGTCCGTTTTCAGTTCCAGAATCCCATCGAGGTACCGCATTACATTTAGCTGTAATGTCTCCTTCGGATCCTCTTGGCTGTGACAGTTTCATAGACTTTCCTTACTTTGATGACACTTTTGAGGAGTACTGGTTGGGTATATTCTAAAATGTCCCTCTGTTGGTGTTTGTCTATTGCTTTCCTCATGATTAGACTGAGTTGATGTGTTTTGGTGAGCAAGACCACCGAAGTAAAGTGTTAATTTCATCACATATCTAGGGTTAAAAGTAACTTAGGTTGTGTATCAGTTAGTAACTTACCACTATCGATGTGAACCCTGATCACCTGGGTGAGGTAGTGTTTGTCAGGTTTCTCCACTGTAAAGTTAACTCTCCTCTTCCCTCCTTTCCACTCGTACTTTGGAAGGAAGCATGCCTAACCCATACTTAAGGAGTGGGGAGTTTTGCTGCACTTCCTTGAGGGCAGAGTATGTGTATTATTTGAAATTCTTCTACATGAGAGATTTGTCTCTTCTCCCCCGTTTATTTATCATTCTTTTACATCAGTATGAATTAATGGATATTTTATACTTTGGGTTATAGTTCAGTAGTACTTTATTTTGTTGCTCAGATTGTTTCAGCTTCAGCTGTTGGAAGCCCTCTTAAGTTGGCCCCTGTGTCCCTTTGACTTACCCCCATCCTTGTGTTTTTTTGTTTTTGAGCACTTTCTGGCTCAACAAGATGCTCCAGGCTTATCTTGTCTATTTCCCGCCCCAGTCCTAGAATCAGCAATTTCTTCAAGGAGCCCAGGTTTCTTGAATTGGAGAATGGTATTAAAAACCAAGATCCACATGCTAGGTGTGCTGATTGCTCATTGCTATTGGACTGTCCTTGCTTTTAGGCCCTCTCAGCTGACAAAGCAAGGAAATAGAAGTATACATACTAACCCTTCTATATACATGTATCTGTAAATGTTTCTTTATGTAACTATCAGTATCTCTGTTAGGCTTGCATTGTTAACTTTTAATTTCTTTTTGGGTAAAGACTCCAGTCTAGAAACTGTTACTTTTGAATTGATTTGTTTTACATAGTGAAGGGATGAATTTGCTGTGATAGAAGGACTGTTTACATATCTACAGATCTGAGATTAGCCAAGGTTAAACAGTTCAGTTCAGTTTAAATTCTTTATATTTAACAAGCTTCTCAATACCCTTCCACGTCCCTCTCCTCAGTTAATGCAAAAGAGCACTATGAGAAAGAAACTACTTCTCAGCAGATCTTTGCTTTCTGTTTTCAGTGTTTGTGGTTTGGCTATCATTTACTTTTAGTACCTAACTTTTAAACTTTTCTTCTTCTTTTTTTTAACAGTTCTTATATCTCATATTAATATACAGTAGAGTTGTTAAAGACTTTAGCTTTGTCATTAGACCTCGTTTTAAATTCCAGTTCAACCACTTAACTGTACAAATTTGGCAAGGAAGTTTTACAGTAAGGCTCTGTTTCTGCATTTAGAAACACACTTGGAACCTGGCAGTTAAACTCTCAAAAGGCTTTGCTGTTATTCATGCAGTAATATATTAAGGAATGCTGCATTTAACCTTCCTTGTTAGTTGAAGAGGCTAACAGATTTGTTTGCTTTTTGATGAAGGTCAGTAATTGTCATGGGTATTGGGCTGCTGACATTAGTTTTTTTCCGTGTAAAAACGTTTACTTATTTTCTGGACAATTCATTCATTAAATGAATATTTGCATATCTACGGCATGCTTATGGTAGGCATTAGGGATAGAGGTATAAACAAATGATATTATCCCTTATTTTCATAGAACTTTTATAAGAGATTAACTTTTTTTGTTCTAACTGAGAATAACTTAGAAGCTGCTACTTTTGAATTGATAGTTTGAATTTGCTTTGAATTTTATCTATTTTCCATAATCACAGAAAATCTTTGAGTAGTTAGTATATCAGAATTTCATTAACTTGTTTCTAGATCAGTTACAAAAATTGCGAGTTTTTTTCTTTTTGCCTTTATCTTTCATTCATGTGTATGTAAGATTTGTAAAGATTTTCCTTTTATAGATACAGAGCTTTCGTAATTAAAATTATGTATGAGCAGATTTTTGGACCTTTACTTCCTTCTGACTAAAACGTTCCTTGGACCTCTTGGTAAGCAGGAACAAAAAGTAAATTCTGAAATTAACTTTACTCAGAACTGGCATAGGTAAAAATTTAAACTTAATGTTTTAAAATGAAATTGTCATCAGAAGTTATTATCTACTCTCACTCTTATTTTACCCTGTTTTGTAACTTTGAGTGCTATTTGGTTGGTTTTAGATATCTTTTCGTGTTGATTTAAGAAGCTAGAGATCACTGTCACATTTGGAGGGTTTATGAAAGATTGTGGAGAGATGGGGTCCTTCCAGTTCCCAGAGTGCATTTAACATAAATTGAATCACACTGACTCTAGATGAGAAGCTAATTTATTTTCTGAAACAAGGTGGACATTTGAGCCTAGATTGATTTTAATTTTGGTTTTTGGATATGAATTACTGTCACTCTGACCTAAATGATGGATGGCACTATTTATCATGAGTGGTAACTGTGCTTTATAATAGGGAATAAAACTAGAAATTCTTGTTCCAGTTATAAATCTAGTTTTGTTTTACTCAAAGAATGCCCTACTGTTATAAGCTAATAAGTCCGCTCTTATGTGTGATGTTCAAGCAATGGCATTATTTTTAGGTTGACTTAGGTTTCTGTTAACTCCAATTGTAGTGCCAGATGTTGAAGTATCCAGACACTAGATCTGTCTGCTTGTTTCTGCCTTCTCTGTGACATCTTGGTGGTTTGAAACTGTTTTGTATTTTTTAAACCTTATTTCTAAGTGCATCACTTACCCTTTGAAGTTCCTGTTTATATTGCCATCTTCTTAAATATCAAGCTTCATGGTGTAGTGACAAGAGCATAAACATCAACATCAAGATGTCTTCAAATCCTGGCTTTACATTTTATTAACTTTCACCTGGAGCACGTATTAATGTCTCCTTTTCCTTAGCTTATAAAATAGAATTTGTTAGGGTTGTTAGGGTTAGATAAACCTAATTAAGGAAGCTTGCATAATACCTGTGGTATGGGTATTTAACTTTTAGTATATTACCTTCCCCCATTCCCAAGTGATACCATCTGTCAGAATTATATTAGATAGCCTAAGTGATCTTTTATACCTTCAGGGAAGAGCAAGCTTGATTAGATGGTTACCTTGTATTGATGGTTTCATTTTTTCTTTTTAAGAGCTTAAAAAAAAGATCGACAGGATGTGTCTTAGTTATCTAGTGCTGCTGTAACAGAAGTACCCCAAGTGGATGGCCTTAACAAAGAGAAAATTTATTCTCTCACAGTCTAGGAGGCTGGAAGTCTGAATTCAGGGTGCCAGCTCCAGGGGAAGGCTTTCTCTTCTGTTAGCTCTGGGGGAAGTTCCTTGTCATCAGTCTTCCCTGGTTGAGGAGTTTCTCAGTGTAGGGACACCAGGTCCAAACGATGTGCAGTGCTCCCAGTACTTCTTTCTCGATGGTATGAGGTCCCCATGTCTTTCTGCTCACTTCTCTTTTTTATATCTCAAAGGAGATTGGTTTGAGATTAAACCTAATCTTGTAGATTGAGTCCCGCCACATTAACGTAACTGCTGCTTAATCGCACCACATCAACATCATAAGGATAGGATTTACAACACACAGGAAAATCACATCAGATGACAAAATGGTGGACAGTCACACAATACTGGGAATCATGGTCTTGCCAAGTTGACAGATAGTTTTGGGGGACACAATTCAATCCATGACAGGATGTCTCTTAGTTATTGCTCTTGGAAGGGTCTTGACCTTTTGACCACTGTGCTCACCATTTTTTGAGGAGAATTTTTTTTTTTTTTTTACCCTGCTTCCATTTCTTAGCGTCTAATCTCTAGTATACCTGTTTTCTAATACTCTGTTTTTCCTTTAGTCAGATTGCATGGTTTAATTCTGGATCTTCCACTAGACTTGACTACATCCGTTTTGCATCTTACAGCACTGTTCTTTGCTTTCAGCTCCCTGTAGTTTTGCCAAGTTAAAATAGATTGAGATAGTATACCTTTTATGTTTTATTTTTCTTCTTTGAGGTAGTAAATAATTGTATGTGCTAATGAGTTACTAACTGGTGGTGTATAGACGGATTCGCTAGACTCTTCCCTTTGCTTTTGTGCCTAATTCCCTCATTGTCTGTTCAATACTTCACCGATTTCTGGTTGGGCAGTGTAAATTATCTTTAGGATTATGAAAAAACTAATGGAACAAATTACAGTTGTAATAGTTTAAAATCCTAGCTTTTCAGTAGTGACATTCTTATGGATGACTTGCCAGAATGATTCTTGGGTATCTATTGGATTTTGAAAGTCAACTGTAGGGCTGGGTAAGGAGTAGTTAAAGAAAACTCCTATTTCATTTGAAGAAATTGGGAGGAAAATTAATTTTTCTATTAGTAAAAAAGCAGATTTAAGACAGTAAAACCCAAAAAGAACAGTTTTGATCTAACCTTTTTCATCACCTTAAACATGAGTAGCTGCAAATATTGTTTACCATGATAACCCTCAAATAACTTGAGTTATATTAAGGTTTTTGAAGCAGTAGGTGAAATTAAGCTTCATTAACTAATTTTAAACTTTTTTTAGGTAAATGAATTGGTGGATGCCAGAGATGTCGGCCTTGGTGCTTGGTTTGAAGCACGTATACATAGTGTTACTAGAGCTTCTGATGGACATTCACGTGGCAAAACTCCACTGAAGAATGGCAGTGCTTATAAAAGGACTAATGGAAATGTAAAACATAATTCCAAAGAGAACACAAATAAATTGGACAATGTACCCTCTACGTCTAATTCAGACTCTGTTGCTGCTGATGAAGACGTTATTTATCATATCAAGTATGATGAGTAAGTGCTCATGCTATTGAGGACTTCATTCATGTTTTTGTTTGTAGAAGCAAAGCCTTCCATTTCAAGATTGTTTTCAAATAATTGTCTTTCTAAAGAAATCATTTAGGGGATCATGTTCATTTTGTTTCTGTGTGTTTGGAGGTTGTAATCTAATGAATAAGGACTCATTAACTCTCAGTTGCTTCTGGCTCTTAAGTGATTTGTTATGATCTAGATCCTAAAACTTGGCTTAATTTATGATATAAAAATTTCTCTTTGTCTCTTCCTTTATTATATTAGGTTTTTGACATGTATTTTAACAGTATTTTAGAAATGATATAATACCCTGTAATGTAATAGCCATTAGAATGAAGTTGAAGATTTTTTTAACCATTTGTCGTTGAGATATAATCCACATAGCATACGATTTATCCCTTTGAAGTGTACAACTCAGTGTTTTTTAGTGTGTTCACATGGTTGTGCAACCATCACCACAAAACTAACTTTAGAGCAGTTTTATTCTCCAAGAAGGAAACCCCATACCCATTAGCAGTCACTCCCTATTCTCCCTCTTCCAATGAAATATATTTTAAAATGTTGGAATGGGAATAGTATTAAGAACTTGCCTTGAAGGCCTAAGTTCTAACACTGAATTATCATTTTCTTTATCCATTTTCAAAATCCTACTACGAAAGCTACTGTTGGGACAGATTTAATATTTAAGACAGTAAATGAACTTAAGTCATCATTCAAGTGATACCTTAGTATGTATGGAAAATATTATGCTATCAAATTCTTACCAAGTATAAGAGTTCAAGATCCTAGAATGGTTGTGATTTTTCCTAACCCAAAATGGTATAAAGACTTTGGTGACAACACATTTCAGGATACCTGGAAAAGGGATCAAAAGTAAATCCCTATTGTCTTTACTTTTCTGATACTTTTCATGGTTGTAGCTTACCTGCCAACACTGCTTACTGCAAATGAGTCATCATACTACTTTTGACCATAGTAGATGGTACTAGAACCAACAACTAGAATGAATACTAAGGTCTGTGATTGACCAGGACTGACAATATTAGTGAATAAGGTTGTGGTAGAAGGGGGTTGGAGTTGGTGTGTTGAGAAGTTAGCCTTCTCTGGATTTATGAGTGCTATGGAAGAGATGCAAGATACAGTAATGATGAGGGACTTCAGCTATATGTATATCTGCCATCAGCAAGCAGACTGTTCTTGGTTTGCTTTATTGAGTTTTATATCTTGGAGAATGGAAGAAACAACTAGGAAAGCTTCTACCTGGGACCTGATTCTGGCTGAAAAAGTAGTTACTGTTTAGCAAAAAATATTGTGCAGAATGGCATGACATAGAATAGGGTAAGAAGATATAAGCACTAAGTGCACTAAGCCTTATTAAATTTTTATCATTTTAGGGACTTGCAAAGATGAGTTTGGAGTAGGACTACCAAGGGATAGGCCCAGTGCCTGAATTTGGTATAATGTTAGAGCAGAAAACACTGGCAACTTAAAGATGTAATAGCTGAACTTCCTTTGAAAAATAAAAGGTAATAGAAGCTTGTTGTTAGTTGCCATTGAGTCGATTCCAACTCATGGCAGCCCCATGGATGCAGAGTAGAACTGCTGTATAGGATTTTCAAGACTGTGACCTTTCAGAAGCAGAACATTGGGCGTTACTTCTAAGGTGCCTCTGGGTAGGTTTGAACCACCAGCCTTTTGGCTAGGAGTTTAGCACTTCACCATTTATGTCACCCAGGGACTCCATAACAGAAGCTTAGTGGTAGGTAAATAAATCCTAAAAAAGAGAGGACTATATAAAATATAGTATAAACTATACAAAATAGATGAGCTCCTGGGTACTAGTCCCAAATAAGAAAAGGCTTGTATAAGCACCTAGGAAGAATCATGAGCTGATAATGAATTTGATAACAAATCCTGTTAGACTAAAATTTCATTCTTCATGGTTATTAGAAAAGTAAAATAAAAACATATAGTTAAGTACATTGTGACTTCAGTAAGTCATTGAACCAGTTCTTCCTGGGTGGAGGATGCATTGAAGAGAGCTGGCGGAGTATGTGGCTTAGCAGTAGTAATAAATTTTTATGGAGTAGTATGCTCCAAGTGAATTAATAGGATGTGGCTGTCAAATAACCATGCTGTAAGGATGTTTTATTAGAAGTATTATAGATGGAACAAGCCAGGTGATGCTGCGCTGGTTATTCCCTATGTGGAATATTGTCTTCCAGCCACCATGCTTTAAGGACAATATCAATAGGACCTGGTACATATTCAGAGTACAATCTAGTGTGTAAAAATGTAAAGCCATCCATGAAGAGCGACTGAAGGAACTAAATACTTAGCTTGAAAAGACTTGGGTCATGTTAGCTCTCATATTTTAAAAGCTTTATCTAGAGAGACACTGTACAACACAGAATGTAAGTTTGAGGAACCTAAACTTCCTACCAGTCAATTCTCTAATGATAGAGAATGGTTTGCCTTGAGGTAGCCAGTAGACAAGATTGGCCATCTTCAAGTATAGACTGACAGACTTGGTTAGAGGTGTTCCATTGCAGAGATTTTAAAAAGTTAGGAGTGGGTTAGATGACCTCTAATTTCAGCATAGGTTTTATTTCCAAGACAGCATTTCTCAAAGACACCTTTTTTATACTTTAAACAAGCTTCAAGTACTTATAGGCTACTATCTCTTTGAATTATGGTGTTGGCAAAGAGTATTGAGTATATATCATGGACTCCCAGAAGAACAAACAAATCTGTCTTGGAAGAAGTACAGCTAGAAAGCTCCTTAGACGTGAGGATGGCGAGACATCGTGTAACGTACATTGGACAAGTCATCAGGAGGGACTAGTGCCTGGAGAAGGACATCATGCTTGTTGAAGTAGAGGGTCAGTGAAAAAGAGGAAGACCCTCAATGAGATGGATTGACACAGTGGCTGCAGCAAACATAACAACATAACTTCAAACATAACAACGATTGTGAGGATGATGCAGGACCAAGCAGTGTTTCCTTCTATTGTACATAGGGTCTCTGTGAGTCAGAACTGGCTCGACGGCACCTAACAACAACAGAATTCCATTCCATCTATGATACTGATAAATTACTACCATATTTCTCTCAATGAACTAACTTTTCATTTTTCTCCTACTAGAATAAGTTGATAGTAATTTCTTATTGGCAAGCTTATGCATAATCATAGCTCCTGACCTCTGAGTACAGCAGTGTAGTTTTGAACAGGCTGTCATTTAGCAAAGGTGCGGAGGTGCCATACATTCCTCAAGGAATCTGACTCTGCAATGCTTTTAGGATATGCAGCATTGTCAATATAAAATGCAGCCATTTGAAAGCTATTTTTTAGCCAACTATAGATCTAATACATTATCAGACCAGATGAATTCTCAGTTTTTGACGTGAACTTTATTAAAACAAAATCGTTTGCCGAATCAGGCCAAGATAGACAGATATTCCCTTGCATCTTCAGTCCCCACTCCATTTGGAGAAGAGTTAGAAAAAAACAAGACGAAAACAAATTTGTGGTATTTCTTACTAGGTAGAGGGGTTTCAAAACACAACAATGCCAGATGTACATCAGTGGCCGTAATATAAAATATTAAATAAATAAATATAAATGAAACCATTTTATAGTTTGTATCCTAATCTAAGTTTCCCCCCTCAAAATTATAGATGCATACATTGTAAATTCATGAAAAGCGGATTATGTTATGAGATTTACTTGATGTTTTAAAGCTCAAGAGTTTTACTGTTATTTCTAAGGGTCCACTTTCTATAGATTCCTTGATAAACATATGCTGAATTTTTTTAAGCACACTTTAATTTTTAGAGAAGTTTTAGGTGTATAGAAAAATTGTGCAGAAAGTACAGTGTTCCGTATGCTGCCCCCTACAGTTTTTCCTGTCATTAACATCTTGTATTGGTGTGCTACATTTGTTACAAATGAAGAACCAATATAGATACGTTGTTTTAAGTAAAGTCTAGTTTATATTAGGGTTCACTCTGTGTGTGATGCAGTGGTATGGGTTTTGACAAATGCGTAATGTTATGTCTCCTCTATTAAAGTGTCATGCAGAGTAGTTTCACTGCCCTTAAGATGACCTGTGCTCCACCTATTCATCCCTCCCCTGGAACCCTTTTTACTGTCTCTGTGGTTTTGTACATAGGCTGAATTTTTGAAGGCTTCTTATGAAGGTATTTTAGTTTGTAGTTAGTCTCTCCCCTTGTTTGTGTCAACCTTAAGATTCATGTCTTGTGGATTACTGCAGATAATATAAAGCAAATGTGGGATCAGCATCAAAGTACCTGATACAAAGTACATATTTGTGTGTGTGTGTGGTTTTTTTTTCCTAATTGCTGTTAGTTCTGTATCAATCATCTCTTGTCACCCTTGTCTTGGCAAGTGCCTTGTATTTTTAGATCTCAACCAACTTAGTTCCCCCTTGGGAAAAAGAGTTGACAGTAGGAATATTTAGGCTCTAGAGATTTAGATTCCAAGGGACTCTTGAATCATCAGCATTTTTCAAAGCACCCCTTTAGTGAGTATGTACAAATTGGCTGCGAGGAGAGGTACCTTCCTCTCCCCCGACCCCCAAGCCCTGATTACTGGGGAAAGTTGAACGAAAACTCTACTTTTAGTGATATTTTGGACAGAAAACAAATTGGGGGGTGGGGTGGGATTAAGAGGTAAACAAATGTTAAGGTGGTATAGGCAATTATATATAATTAACTGGTTGATAACAAAAATGAGAGAACATGAAAATCTACCTTATTTCATTTTCAAAAGCTTGTAGTATGCACTTTTTATAACTTTCTAAAACTTGTGTTTATTCCCATCAGTTATACCCTCTGGGTGTTTATAGCACTCCATTCCTAAACCGTTTAACCCTTGAGATTATGGCCCCCAGACATCCTACTAATTTAGAACTGAAGCCACTCCCAAAGTCCACTTCTCAGCCAAAGATTAGACAGGCCT